CGGTGTGCAACATATAAAAAAATTATTTTACAATACCAGATCATTCCGCTAGTACATGTTATGATTATAATCCAACATTATTTTTATTATAATAAATGTTGTTGTATTATAATCATAAAATATATTTGAAATTCACACAACATTTTGCATGTGAAGATAAATGATCCAAATGATTATAGTAAAGAAAAAAAGAAGTTTCGTACTGTAGTACGTAAGGTAAAAACTTTTTTAGATTCTGAATAATCTTGTGTAAAATTAATATAATAATCTAAATATAATATTCTAGCTGCAGATAAATGACTTATCGAGAAATTCGTTATTGATTAAATGATATTACAAGAAAATGAGATATCAAAATCTTGTCAGTAAAACGGATTGTCAGTAATATGGCTTCTGTAAAATAGTGTTTCGGAAATTTATAATGGATCGTACTAGACAATCTAACTTTAATATTTGTAGTTTCAAATAAAATATTATAGTATACTGAAAATTATAAAACTATCAGCTTTTGGCATTATTGGTAAAATAAATCAAAATGGGACTTTACAATAGCAAAATCAACAAAAATCAATCTCACTCTCTTAACATTGAGAAATTAAAATCAACAAGTAGTGATGTATTGACTGAGAGTATTTCTGATACCAGTAACTCTTATTGCGAAAATGGTAGAAGATATAATGTACAAAATAAGACATATTCATTACCTAATGATTACGAAGAACATAGTAGATTAAATTTACAACACGCCATAATTAGATATATTTGGCAAGGCAACTTTTCCGCACCAGTTGAACATCGCCTTAATCAAGAAGACACAAAGGTTCTTGACATAGGGTAAGTTACTTAACAATAATGATAACAAATACCGTATGTTATCGAATAGAGGCAACCTAAATGTTGTAAAAAAAAATGAGAATTTTTTCAAGTCAAAGCGAAGAGGTTGCTTTTATTCGAGTATAATTTTATTAATAGAACATAACAACTTTTGTCAAATTCTTGGCTTCAAAATCTGAGGGGTTGCTTTTATTCGGGGCTGCTACCATAAAACCGCGAAATAACGAGCATGGGCGTTATTTCGGAAATCGCATTCTCTAAAAATAGTATACCTGGCTTCAAAATAACGCCCATGCGTGTCCCGAAATAGCGCACACCTTATATAGCATATAAACAATGAATGACACATGTAAGTACGTACAGTTAAAATAGAAA